GGGGTTACCATGATGCTTTAAATGAACCTCTGTCTTTAATCTCTGAGGATTATTTTCTTTCAGGAATTGTACAGGAGGATTGGAAAAAGGCAGATGTGGTTGCTGTATTCAAAAAGTAATATTTGCCTGGAAATTATAGACATGTGACCTAACTTCTGTGGCTGGGAAAGTATTTGAAGAGTTATTAAGGGATATCTTTCAGGAATTAATTTTTAGTATAAATCAGCATGGTTTAATGAAACATAGGTTATGTCAACCTAACAATTGCATTCTTTGAAGAAGTAAGTAGAAGTATAGATCTAGGGGTTTTAGTGGGTGGGATCTACTTGAATTTTGCCGTAGACATTCGATACGGTTCCACACAATAGGTTAGTGTTCAAACTAAAATAAATTGGTCTAGATAGGTGGTCTCCAACCTTTTGTCAGTTGTGTACCCCTTGGCAGCCCATTTCCATAAATTGTACCACTTATATTAGTGAATTATTTGTTATTTTAAATTGACATGTTTTCTCTGTCTCATCTCCCCTTTTTCTCTGCCCTAGGCTCCCTTGCTTCCACTCCCTGCAAGGTATATATTATATATATTATATACACACAGTGACACACATGCATATGCACAGATGCATACTGATACACATGCAAATAAACAGACACACAGATATACAGTGATATACTTGCAGATAGACAAACACAGACACAAATTCAGATATAGACATACAGATACAAACACTGACACACATATAGACGTACACGTACTTCAGGTTGAGAACCCCTGGTCTAAATGAAAATTCTTGTTCTTGGGTACAACATTGACTTAAAGAAAGAGTACATAGCGCTGTCATTAATGGTACATTTTCAACCTGGGCAAAAGTGGTAAGTGATGTCCCAAAGGGGCCTGTTCTGGGACTGCTTCTATTCAACATATTTATCTTGAAATAGGCATTGAATGTCACGTTTCAGTGTTTGCAGATGACACAAAACTCAATGTGAGCAATACAATATAATTGACTTCACTGAAGATTGGGGGACTGGCCAGATTAAATGTAATGTAGATTTGTAGGTCTAATGCAGAAATTGCAAAGTTATGCACTTCGGGATACAGAATGCACAAACAACTTGAACCCTAAACTGTAGTGAACTAGGGACAACACACAACAAGAATTTGGGAATTGTTATAGATAACAAACTGGGCGAAAATGTGCAATGTCAATTAGCAGTCGCCAAGGCCAGCAAGGTATTGTCATGTATAAAAAGGTGCATATATTTCTGGAAAGGAAATATAATTTTGAACACTTTATAAAAAAAATGGTTAGACCATACCTTGAATATGCTGTGCAATTTTGGGCACCTGTTCTATAGCAGGATATTATAGAACTAGAAAAAGTGCAGAGGTAGGCTACAATTAATAAAAGTAATGGAAAATTTTATTTAAGAAAAGTTAACAAAGGGGGGCGGGGCCTGGCAAACAAGATGGCTGGACATGTCTCTCAGTAGCTCCTGATTAAATTAGCAACACGCTTCCCTTATAAAGTTTTTACCACTTGCTGGATGAAACCTGACAATCCTCGCAGACTGATACATCAGCAGACTACAAATTATCGACCTGAGCCAAACTGACTGGATAAGTACTTACCTGCCCAATATTGTGGCCCAGCAGCTTGCCGACCTGATAGTTGGAAGAAACGGCGATCTCTTGACCTGAGGTGGGCATCCTGTTACGGTTCTGTAGAAACACAGCACTGCTACCCCCTCTCCCTTTGGACCAGTGAGGGTTAACCGGGTTCCCACTGGTGGATCAACTTAAACGATTCAGAATAATCTTCTGCTATCCCGCAGACCACGCGGTTGATCTAAAATGGCCGCTGCACCAGAGCTCCCACGCTGTGAAAAGTGTTTGCAAGCCCAGTCCTCGACAGACATCTTTGAGGCAAAATTTGGCAAGATATGTCAGGAGTTCTGGCAGTGTCTCGAGAGTAGACCATGTGTCTCTCCTACCCTTCCTAAGGTGCCAATCCCAGCCACGGCTCCGGCACTTGGCTCTCCTTCTTCTGGGCTGGGGGCCCACCTGGACCAGCATCCAACCCATTGTCCACCTACCCGGAATGCTCTCTGCAACTGCGGATCCCTTGACATGAGGGTGTGGCTCCTGTGAAGGCCTGGGCTTGAGGAGCTACCGGACTGCGGAGCTGTGAACAAGCTCAATTTTCAGCGATACATGGAGGAAGGAACCGTGGCTGTACCTGACATGGAGTCTGCCTTGTTGCTGTGGCCAGATTGCGGCATGGGAGGACTTATGGAAAACAGCATGCTCCCTGTTGTATAAGCAGTACAATAATATATGCAGATGTTTTATTTGTGTTAGCTTGAGTGCTGCTTTTATTTTTCTAATTCACAAGCATTCTTATATATATAACTTATAGGCAGCCCATTACCTCCACAAGTTCAGGGCTTCTGTCTTTGCATACAATATTTGAATTCAGCTAGCCACATGTGTCTCTGAACCTCATGCCTGCTTTATGTTAAGCCTACCCTGCCTATGCCCCAAGTAAATAATGTTAGACACAGGACTGCCTAGCATGTTTATTAACTTTTTACTAAAATGTGCAACGTTTATGTATGCCATGCTTTATATACCTATGTATATGAACGGCTTATCTATGCTGTTGTGGCACCGCAAGTACGTATGTTCCTACCTATTTGCACTGAAAAGAAAGAATGTAAAAAAAAAAGAAAGGTTAACAAAATTAAATCTGTTTAATTATGAAAATTGCGCCTCAGAGGGGATATGACGAGCATTATACAAATATATTTGGGGGCAATACAAACTATGTCTGGAAATCTATTCATAAGTAATAAAAATAAAAAATAGGTAGGCACACTACAAATGTTAATAAAGACAGGAGCTAAACAAATGATACTGGGTGCTCACTCACACAGGTCCCATTCCCAAAGAACCAAAAGAGTTACAAGCAAAGGCGTGCCCCCTTTTGTAAAAGGGTGTGCACCCTAAAGCACAAACACACACGCCGCGTGTATATATATATATATATATATATATGTGTATATATATATATATATATATATATATATATATATACACACACACACACACACAAACATATACCGCTGTGTGTGTATGTGTGTAAGGGTGCTGTGTGTGAAGGTGCTGTGTGTGTGTGAGGGTGCTGTGTGTGTGTGCAGGCGCTGTGTGCAGGCGCTGTGTGTGTGCAGGCGCTGTGTGTGTGTGTGAAGGCGCTGTGTGTTTGTGAGGGGGCTGTATGTGTGTGTAAGGGTAATGTATGTGTGTGTAAGGGTGATGTATGTGTGTGTGAATGTGTAAGGATGCTGTGTATGTAAGGGTCATGTATGTGTGTGTAAGGGTGCTGTGTATGTAAGGGTCATGTATGTGTGTGTAAGGGTGCTGTGAATGTATGTTTGATGTATGTGTGAGTAAGGGTGCTGTGTTTGTGTGTGTGATGTTAGTGTGTGTGTGAGGGTGCTGTGTGTGTAAGGGTGCTGTTAATGTGAGTGCTGTGTGTGTAAGGCTGCTGTTAGTGTGAGTGCTGTGTGTGTAAGGGTGCTGTTAGTGTGTGTGTGTGTGAGGGTGCTGTGTGTGTAAGGGTGCTGTGTATGTAAGGGTAATGTATGTGTGTAAGGGTGCTGTGTGTGTGTGATGTTAGTGTCTGTGTGAGGGTGCTGTGTGTGTAAGGGTGCTGTTAGTGTGAGTGATGTGTGTGTAAGGGTGATATATGTATGTGTGTAAGGGTGCTGTTAGTGTGAGTGCTGTGTGTGTAAGGGTGCTGTTAGTGTGAGTGCTGTGTGTGTAATGTATGTGTGTGTGTGCTGTATGTTTGTATGCATTGTGTGGGGGTGGGGGAGCCGTTTAGTTAATATCCCCCCTCCCTTCTTACATTTTGTAGGGATTGGGGACCATGCTGTTGCCCTCCCTGGTGGTCCGGTGGTGAGTGAGTGTGCCTAGGCACACCCGGCACACCCCGTGCACACGCCTATGGTTACAAGTACTACCCAAATAAGGAGCACAACCATAGGTATATACAAAAATCTTTATTAAATGGGTCAACAGCAAATGGATATCTCATTACACATATCAATAGATCCAAATAAAGACAAACTTTACCATACAAGTGGCAAAATTGCCAGAAATTCTAGAATTGCCTATGCTCAAAATCTATTATAAACAAATTGCTGGATATTAGCATAGTGAATAGCTATATGAGATACCAGATCATAACAACCCACAAATAAATCTATATACATAAAACAGATGCATACCAGACCTAGTGAGAAGAGGGAAGAAAATCAATCAGCAAGCCCCGAACGTTTCGGCAAGAAAAATGCCTTTATCACAGGCTCACTGTATATAGATTTATTTGTGGGTTGTTATGATCTGGTATCTCATATAGCTATTTACTAAGCTAGCAATTTGTTTATAATAGATTTTGCGCATATGCAATTCTAGAATTTCTGGCAGTTTTGTTTTACCACTTGTATGGTAATGTTTGTCTTTATTTTGATTTATTGATATGTATGATGAGATATCCATTTGCTGTGGACCCATTTAATAAAGATTTTTGTATATATCTATGGTTGTGCTCCTTATTTGGGTAGTACTTTGAAATCTATTCATAAACAGGACTTTACATAGGACACAAGGTCACATTTAGACTGAAAGAAAGGAGATTTAGTGTAAGGCAGCGGTTCCCAAACTGTGTGCCACGGCACCCCAGGGACACACAGGGGCACCATGAGATATTTTCCCAGTGCAATGATTATAGTATCGGGAATTATGCCTCCCTCTCCCATGCCGGCTCTGCAGGACCAGAGGGGAGATCACAGATCTCCCTCTCTGGCCTACCAGCAGTGTAATGCGGCAGCCGGAAGGGGAGGGAGGGAGAGAGGACCCTGGGGAGCTCTAACGGCAACGCTCTGAATCTTGTGAGAGTGAACTCTAGCAGCTCCTGCGGCTGCTAGAGTTCACTCTCACCACCTGGACCACCAGGGCTTGCCTTGCACTGTCCACCTCCCAGGCAAAGGTAAGCAGGGAGGGGGGGGGGGATATCAAAATTACAATTTTTATGATTTAAAAAATCTTTAAAAACAAAATCTGCCTCCATAAACACACATTGTCCCCACACACATACACACACACACTGCCCCACCATACACACGCACTGCCCCCTCACACACTCTGCCCCCCCCACACACTGTACCCGTCAATACACTCACACACACACACACTTCCCCATCACACACACTATACCCCTCATGCACACACTGTATCCCTCACACACACATTGTATCCCTCTCACAGATGCACACACTGCACCCTTGAAACACACTGATACAATGCACCCCTCACACACACACACACACACTACATCCTTCACAAACACAATGCACACACACTGCACCCCCCCTACACTCACACACACACTTAACCCCATACACATTGCACCTCTCTCTCTCATACACACACACACATACATTGCGCCTTCCCCCCCCCCACACACACACCAATGCCCTATCACCTACTATAGCCCCTATCCTGGCAGACCACAGGTAAGTTGTTGAACTGTTCTCAAACAGTTTAACTACTCCTGGCACCATAATCACTACAGTGTGCTGTAGTGGTTATTGTGCTTGGATTGTTACAGGGGCCTAGCATATGCCACAGAGCTGTACATGTATGCAACCTAGAAATTATTTTGACTTGGGGTGCCTTGGAAAAATATTGCAATATAACCTAAAAAGTTTGGAAACCACTGGTCTAAGGCAAAGGAAAGGGTTCTTTACAGTAAGAACAATAAAGATGGGAAACTCTATGCCTGAAGAATTGGTTTCATCTTAGGAGCATAGATGTTTCCATGGCAATCGTTTGCATACTTGCAAAGACATAAAATACAGGGATATCATTTTTATTATGTGGAGTAATAGCTTGTTGTTCCAAGGAGAGATCTAACTGCTATTTTGGGATCAAGAAGCAATTCACTCATAGTTTGTTGCAAAATAGGAAGAGCTTTAAGAAGTTTTTTGCCTTCTTTTGGATCAACTGCAAAAACAGATGTGAAAAAGGTAGAACTTGATGGACTTGATGTCTCTTTTCCCCTGTGGAACTATGCAACTATGTAATATTCAATATCCACTGGACCATCTCTTTGGGGAGATCCCGACTTACACATTTACTAAGTCTCACTTACCTACTGTTGAAATATATCTGACCAGCTCTGATATCACCACTAGTATCAGAACAATACACACAGTTATGAATTAAATTAGCTCAGTCACAATTAAAATGTATTCCTTCAGTAAAAGTCTGTGAATACGATTCTAAATTTTTACATTAGCTCTTGTGATGTCAATACAGCAAAAAAACTTACATCTTTTAGCCTAACTTTTTTGAAAGTGAACGCATAGCCAGGTAGCATAGTTCTCCATAAACCACATATAGGAAGGACAGTGACGTTCCTTCAGGTAAGAGAAGTTTAAGCCACAGCAGCAGAAAAGATTTAGTGTAAGATGAAAAAAAAAACTGAACAAGAGCAGTTACATTTGAAGATTGATTACATATATTAATCAAAAAGCATGATGCAGTTTGAGCAAAGCAGGGGATATTGGAAGATATAGCGCTGATGTGAGGTAATCCCACTGGATAATGAGTATTGTCAATATTTCACTGAATGTCCAAATTATAATGTATTGATTCAACACTGTGATGCTTAGCTTATTAAATTGAATGTTCTGTTATGTTGTTATAAATGTTCTTATGAGGAAATGAAAATATAAACAAATATAAACGTACCATCAGATGAACTTTTAAAAAAAAGTAGCAAAATATAGCTGATAACATTGTAACTAGTGGGGAAGTGAGACTAGTCCCCTGGAATCCAGACCTGGATCTGGAATTAAAGGGACTCTCCAGTGCCAGGAAAACAATCCGTTTTCCTGGCACTGCAGGTCCCCTCTCCCTCCCACCTCCAATCCCTGGTTGCTGAAGGAGTGAAAACCCCTTCAGTGACTTACCAGAGGCAGCAACGATGTCCCTCATCGCTGCTTCTTCCTCTGCCCACGCTCCTCCTCTTCATCACGTCAGCCGGCGGAGGAGACTGATCACGCCCGCCCGTGGGGGAAACCTAATGCGCATGCACGGCAATGCTGCGCATGTGCATTAGACCTCCCCATAGGAAAGCATTGAAAATTTTAGTGACGCTGGATGGATCTGTGCCATAATCCCGGAAGTGCCCTCTAGTGGCTGTCTAGTAGACAGCCACTAGAGGAGGAGTTAATAAAAACTGCAATAATTACACCTGCAGGGTTAAGGGTAGTGGTGTCAGGATTACTGTTTGATCCAGCACGTAGAACTGTACAGCACGGATGACAAATAAGTAACGTATTACCGGTCCTTAGAATGGCCGGATTTAACGTACAAAGAATAGTCAAAAATACTAGCCGAGGTCAGGGAACACAGAAAGGGACACAGCGATGAGGAAAGCTAGGAGTCAGGATACCAGAATATAGAGAAGTCAATAAACAAAGCCAAAGTCAAAAACCAGGTAGAAAACTATAAACAGGAACGCGCTCTCAGACAACCACAAGGGAAACCACGACAGGGCACTGAGCAGGCTGAGAACTGGGCCTAAATACCCCTCCTTTAGTTCTGATAGGCTGTAACCGGCCTTTGACCCCCAAAGTCAGTTACCAGGTTTCATTTGCATAATTGCTGCTCAGCATTAACCCTTCTGTGGATTAGGTTGCTGCTCGGCACAACTTTTCCTGTGTGGACAGTAAATGTCATTAACCACTTTTCTATAAGCGGATGAATACGTGACAAGTGGGAGTTAGCACCCAGACCATTTCAATGGGCAGCAGTGGTCTGGGTGCCTGGAGTGTCCCTTTAATGAGTCTCTAGACCCTAATTGGGTTTCCTCTGCAATTTGCCGATCGGGTGGCCCACGTATCACTAAACAGGTCAGGACCATTTAAGACCGCGACTGTGCCTCTGTAGCATGGGATGCTGGTTGGAACTGACAGCGTGTCATTTCCTCCCAGAGAGAGAGAGCGCCGAGTGGGATGGGGAGAGTGAGCAGCAGTGAGGATTGAGCAACACACCAGCCTCAGTGAGCAGCCTGCAGCACTCCAAGCAAGTCACCTTCCTGCATAAAAAAGGTCAGCTAACAAATGGGTGACTGCAAATACCTGTGTATGTCTGTGTATGTATCTGTGTGTGTATTATGTTTCACTGTGTGTATCTGAGTATGTATGTATTTGTGTCACTGTATGGATCTGTATGTCAGTGTATTTGTGTAACAATGTGCCTGTGTGTGTATCTGTGTGTCAGTGTATCTGTCGGTGTTTGTATGTGCCAGTGTGTGTATCTGTGTGCCAGTGTATGTATGTATCTTTGTGCCAGTGTGTGTATATGTCAGTCAATGTATCTGTCAGTGTGTGAATCTGAGTGCGTGTATCTGTGTGTCAGTGTGTGTGTGCCAGCGTGTGTTTCTGTGTGTCAGTGTGTATATGACTGTGTGTGTGTGGATAAGTGTCCTTCTGTGTTTTTCTGTTAATATGCATGTATAAATGTGTAAGTGTGTATGTGCAGACATCACAGCAATTAAATACCAACACAGCATACAAAGACACCCCTGCAAACACAAACATGACATACAAAGACACTCCTGAACTCCAACTCTAAAATTATATACAAACACTCAAATACACCCTTCACTCAAACACCAATACTACACACAAATGTACATCTCCATTTCAAATCCAACACTACATCCAAAGACACCATTGCACGTAACTGCAAGCATAACATCCCAAAACACACCCCTGTATTAAGATGCTAAAATAATATCCAAATACCAACTCTACACACAGAAGCACACCTGCTACTAAATACTACAATCTGTTATAATTAAAACTGTAGAAATTTGCCAAAAAAGAAACCCTATACGTTCTGTTTCTTAAAAGGTTTGTGGTACGGTACGGTTCCACAGGCAAAATATATTGGAAACCCCCTGCTCTAGGCATAGCTGAAAAATGTGTCCCCACATTCCTTCATCACCCCCATCCCTATAGTCCCAACCAAGCACATTCCTCCAGCCCAAGAGTCCTCATCAACATAACCCCTACATCCCAGGCTAATATCCAGCTCACCAGCTTAACTCCAACTCTACGTCACCCTACCCTCATAACTTCCCCATAATTCCCAACCCCAGTCACATTGTCCCGCCCGTATATCACTCACAGCCCTATTCATGTTATTGCTGTACCCATAAACCACCAGTTCAGCCCTATAATCACATCACACCAATCCCCATAGTCTCCTCATCGTCCACAGGCGTAAACATATTTTCCGATTGCCATAATGCCATCACCCCCATAATTTCTGAATCAGGCTTTCCCTACATTTCCTGTAGTGGCCATAGCTATATCATTTGTATGGGCATTTAGCTTTCATTATATTTAATAGTAAATTATGTTACCAGCAATAACACTGATGCTTCTTTTGTTAAGTGAAGCTGCCAACTTTATTCAGGACTTTCATTTACCACCTATTAGGGGAAATCTACGTATACCCTGCTGCTCTGTGTTGTTATGCTACTGTTTTTCTCTCTTATTTGGTTATGAAAAACAAAACAGGCCTTGACATACATGCAGACATTCCTCCCCAGAGGCCTTTTTTTGTTGTTATTGCATAATTTATGATGACAGCCTCGATTATTTTCTCCTGCAACTTGTACTTCTTGACATGCCTGTAGAATCCATTAATAGAAAATGTAACAGGGAAGTTTCCATATTCACCAACATTTTTAAACATAAGCATTGCTTCTTTAGAGGTAGGATTCCTTCAGCTTGGATATTTCAGTATTACATAGAATACGACTGATCTTAAGCAGCCAGGATTGTGAATTGACAGGTCGTCACCAAAAAATTGCAAAGTTTAGGCCAAAATTCCTGAATTGGAAAGATTATCCAAGACAACTATATCTGTCTCAGCTGTTTTAGTATTTAATGCAATTCCCTTGTGAATTTCGCACACATTTTGTTTAGTAAGTAAACCTGAGTGTGTATTTTCAGCACAATCTTTACATTGTTTTAACATATCTACCAAGTGTTGTTATTTAGGAGGCGCAGTTCCTCTGTCCTTCATTTCTGAACTAATGTAGAGGAACTGCATTGATACCAGGGTCCATGGCAACGAGTCTTTTTCTTTAAAAATCAGTCTGTGTAAATAATATACATTGTTCATGCTCCAAATTACATTTTATTTGCATAAATTATTATTAGTAAGTTGCCTAAAAATTTTCAGCCCCACCTAACAGCTACATACAACCCTAGATTAAAATGTTGCTCTTTATGCATTTGAATGTAGGGAGTTATGTTTTAAGTATAGCAGTAGACTGTGTGATAAAAAATCAACCCCAGTCAAAGGTAGAGCGCTAAGGAGGTGCTTGTAAATGATTCACCTCCCCCTTCTCCTTTTTAAATTTACTGGAACCTGGAGATAGGGATATAAGATAGGGCTACAATAGTGAAGTACTGTTAGGTAGTGATAAAATAAATGTGGAGGTGTATAGAACCACTCACTTGGTACTGAGCCTAAACAGGACAGGCTCAGACCACTTGATCAGATGTGTTTTTAACAGGCAACACAAACCAATATGTTTTTAACAGGCAACACAAACCAAACAGTAGATGGAAACACTTCTGGACCCTTTAGGAATAAGAGAAGCCAAACATAGTGTAATATGCAGGTGAATGGTGGTTGAGGTGATAAAACATGCAGAACTGCTCACCTGATTCAGAGCCTGTGACTCTGGCTCTGAGTATAATAGTGTTGGTACCACTGGGGGGGTACCAGACCCTATGGATAAGATCAGGAACACAACTTACGTCCAGGTACAGGGTATAAAAATAAAATTTATTGTATACAATAAAACAAAAGTATAAATAAGAAAATTAAAATCCTCCTGGACGTCCGAGACGCGTTTCGCCGGTAAGCTTCATCAATCGGTGTCACTGATTGACACCTCCACATCGGTGTCACCGATTGATGAAGCTTACCGGCGAAACGCGTCTCGGACGTCTAGGAGGATTTTAATTTTCTTATTTATACTTTTGTTTTATTGTATACAATAAATTTTATTTTTATACCCTGTACCTGGACGTAAGTTGTGTTCCTGATCTTATCCATAGGGTCTGGTACCCCCCCCCAGTGGTACCAACACTATTATAATCAGAGCCAGAGTCACAGGCTCTGAATCAGGTGAGCAGTTCTGCATATTTTATCACCTCAACCACCATTCACCTGCATATTACACTATGTTTGGCTTCTCTTATTCCTAAAGGTTCCAGAAGTGTTTCCATCTACCGTTTGGTTTGTGTTGCCTGTTAAAAACACATCTGATCAAGTGATCTGAGCCTGTCCTGTTTAGGCTCAGTACCAAGTGAGTGGTTCTATACACCTCCACATTTATGTTATCACTACCTAACAGTACTTCACTATTGTAGCCCTATCTTATATCAGTATCTCCAGGTTCCAATAAATTTAAAAAGGAGAAGGGGGAGGTGAGTCATTTACAAGCACCTCCTTAGCGCTCCACCTTTGACTGGGGTTGATTTTTTATCACACAGTCTACTGCTATATTTTGTATTTTTGTGTCAATTAGTGAGCGAATTGCACTTGGTGGTAGCAGCTCACATACTATTTATATACATATATTCTTTTAAGCGCCAGAAAACACAATATCACCTCTATTCCAGTTATGTTTTAAGAATGCCCCATGCCAATTGGGTAAAGTTTCATAACCAGGCCCGGACTGGTAAAAAAAACTAGCTTGGGCAGTTAAAGGCTGAAAGGGGAAGAGCCGGAAAGGGGGCGTGCTATGTCATCAGCAATGATAAGCACACCCCCACTACCACTAAAACAAGTGTTATTGTGATGTCTCTCAGCAAGATTTATTTTGTGCAACATCAGCATGCGCTACATTTGCTAGTGACTTGTCTTTGGTGTCCTGCAGGCCCGGACTGGCCATCGAGCACACCGGGCAAATGCCCGGTGGGCCGCGGTGGCCATGGGCCGAGGCCGGCAGGGGAGATCACAGGATCTCCCCTGCCGGTCTATGCAGGGCCGGCACTCTCCTAGCGCCGGCCCCGCTGTTTGTCACGACGGGCCGGTGGGGGGATCAAGGATCTCCCTGACCGGCCCACATGCGGCCGCCGGCGGGGAGGGAGGGAGGGAGCCAGCCAGCTAGGCTGGAGAGAGGACCCGGCGGAGCTCTAACTTGCAGCTCCGCCGGGTTCCTCTCGCGAGATCCGGCGCGTTGCCATGGCAACGACCGGATCTCGCGAGAGTGAACTCTAGCCTCACAGGCTAGAGTTCACTCACCCACGAGGACCACCAGGGAACACTGCCACCCCGCCTTCCAGCGTGCCGGACCCCCCCTCCCAGGCTAAAGGTAAGAAGGGAGGGGGGAAATAATGACTTTTTTTTTTTATTTACCCCCCCTACACACACACACAATAACATTTATACAGCACTCTCACACCCATCACACACAGCACTCTCTCCCACAGCACTCTCACACCCATCACACACAGCACTCTCTCCCACAGCACTCTCACACCCATCACACACAGCACTCTCTCCCACAGCACTCTCACACCCATCACACACAGCACTCTCTCCCACAGCACTCTCACACCCATCACACACAGCACTCTCTCACACAGCACTCTCACCCATCACACACAGCACTCTCTCACACATTACACACAGCACTCTCACACCCAGCACTCTCTTACCCATCACACACAGCACTCTCACACCCAGCACTCTCACACCATCACACACAGCGCACTCTCACAGAGCACTCACACACACACAGCACTCTCACACCCATCACACACAGCACTTTCACACACACACAGCACTCTCTCACAGCACTCTCACAGAGCACTCTCTCACACCCATCACTCACACACGGCACTCTCACACCCATCACTCACACACGGCACTCTCACACCCATCATTCACACACAGCACTCTCACATCCATCACTCACACACGGCACTCTCACACACATCACACACACACGGCACCCTCACACACACACATACACCGCACCCTCACACACACACATACACCGCACCCTCACACACACACATACACCGCACCCTCACACACACACATACTGCACCCCTCACATACACACAGAATCCCCCCAACACACTGCACCACACACATACACAATACTTCCAAATATATATATATATATATATATATATATACACACACATATACATACACACACACACTACACTCTTAAAGGACCACTCTAGCCACCCAGACCACTTCAGCTTAATGAAGTGGTCTTGGTGCCAGGTCCTTCTAGGGTTAACCCATTGTTTTATAAACATAGCAGTTTCAGAGAAACTGCTATGTTTATCAATGGGTTAAGCCTTCCCCCAAAGCCTCTAGCAGCTGTCTCATTGACAGCCGCTAGAGGCGCTTGCGTGCTTTTCACTGTGAAAATCACAGTGAGAGCACGCAAGCGTCCATAGGAAAGCATTATAAATGCTTTCCTATGCGACCGGCTGAATGCGCGCGCAGCTCTTGCCGCGTGTGCGCATTCAGCCGACGGGGCGGATCGGAGGAGGAGAGCTCCCCGCCCGGCGCTGGAAAAGGTAAGTTTTAACCCCTTTCCAGAGCCGTGTGGGAGGGGGTTCCTGAGCCACATATGCATCACATTACACCACAAACACAACACGACTAAAACCGACCTTATTACACAATACCACACCACGACCAGCTCACTCTACACACACGCAATACCACAAGCAGGCTCCAAACACATGCACAATACTCTTTCCTGGCCTTTTGTCTCCTGGTATCCATTTATAGAGACACCAGAGACAAGTTGCAAGGAAACATAGTGCAAGCATGCTATTAAATTTGCAGAACAAATACAGGACTTTTTTCTCATGTTAGAGCTCTTCAGCAGAGCTCTGCGCATGGTCTGCCCTGGAAGAGCATTGAACCAACATGCTCACTTTGAGAGGAGGCGTGTTTGTCATTGGTGATGACAAAACACACCTCCTCTGCCCCGCCCCCTTTTTAGTGGGCCGCTGCGTTAAAAAAATGCCCGGGCCGAATTTTTCTCCCAGTCCGGCCCTGGTGTCCTGAATAGTGGGATACTAGAGAACAAAAGTGTAACAGGGCTGTTAAAGTGTCTTGAGCGTATGTATGGATACTCCCAGTGGTGTATGTGGTTGAAGCTTGTGTGTAGAGGAGACTATTTATGTTATTTAGTGTGTGTAAAGGGGTCTGTTTGTGACATAGTATGTGTGTGTTTCTTGGCTGTTAAGCATGTTTGTGTGTATTTATAGGGTCTGTTAGAGAGTGTGTACTGTGTGTGTATGGAAGTGCAGGGGGTGTAGTGTTTTGTTAAATGCTGAAAGACCTGAAAAGCAGAAATTGCCTGTATTTTACAAAGCTTAGAGGAAAGCCAGAGGCGACAAAACCCTAAAGGGCTCAAAGGCTAGATTTAGTTTTAACAGAGTAACAAATACAGTCATTTGAGACAACTTGTATTCTTGTCCCACAGGACAGAAACAAAGTATTCACTTTACCAAATGATCTGTCCTTACACACAGCTCTTATCCCTTCATTGTACATCTGTGTCCATAGCACTGCTGGTTTTTGACAGCTCCATTCACAGTTTTTTTTTATTAACATCAGTCAATGAATGGGCAGTAATGTATTTGAGGTGATTTTTGTGTTTAACAGCACTTTTATTGAAAAAAAAGAAAGATACAGAAAAGCGATTAGAGGGATCACACATACAGTAACACAATTGCATGAATGGCCATCAGAGTTCAAACATTTGAAGACAAGCTAAAGGAATAAATTCAGCAAATACTGAGCCGCATCCTAAAGTAACATTTTAAAATAAAGAGGTAAATTAAAATTGAATGGCAATAGTAATATATGAAAAAAAACATGCATTAGCTGGTATCACTGGTGTACATACTGCGGTCGCAGGGTTCGCAGCTGCGACTGGGCCCGTCACTCCAGGGGGCCCGGCCGCCATGTGGACCCCTGCGACTAGGTACCTGCTATCACCATTTGCAGCCCCGGCCCACGCGGCAAAGCGCCGGGGCCGCATGTTAAGGGCTCCATCGGGTGGCCCATGCTGTCAGGGCCACCCGATGGATATGGATTATCAGAAGGCCCGGTCAGCGCTGGACGCTTTAACAGCGCGACCAGGCCTCCTGTAATGAGATCAGACAGCTGGGAGGAAGTGACTGCACATCACTCCTCCCAGCTAACACACAGACCGCGCTGGAGGAAGCAGAGGAGGGAGTCAGAGTGGCAACTCTGACTCCCATCCACCTGAACCACCACTGGTCCCCAGGAAAAGGCACCCTCCTGCACCAAAAAGGTAGGAAACAGGAGGGTGACTTAAACATTTTGTGTGTGTTTGTATGTATGTGTCTATCTGTGTGCCTGTCTGCCTGTATGTATGTGTGCCTGTTTGTTTGTATGTATGTCTTTGTATGTGTGTTGTGTGTGTGTGTCTGTCTGTATCTATCTGTGTGTCTGTCTGTATGTCTGTGTGTGTGTCAGTCTGTATGTGTCTGCCTGTGTGTATGTGTGCCTGTATGTTTGTATGTGTCTTTGTATGTGTGTGTCTGTCTGTGTGCCCGTATGTGTGTGTGTGTGTCTGTCTGTATGTGTCTGTATGTGTGCCTGTCTGTTTGTATAAAAAGATATGGAAGGGCTGCGCCAAATAAGGGTAGATAGTCCAGTAAAGTATTGCTAGGGTGCCAATAGATGGTCTAGGATACTTGATAGAGTTCCTCTGTGGATGCGTCTGGTGTAGACCGTTCCGTATATGTAAATACAAGAGAGGTAGAGGCGACTAATGGTATAGTATGAAAGTTCAGGGTGTGATAGGTAACAAAAAGTAAAGAACTCACATTCAAGAGAGCTATGGCCAGCTCTGGTGTGGATTGCGTACAGCGGTATAATCCCCGCTTATGGGATATGTAGGGAGGGGTCTCCGTCAACACCGTCTGGTAGTCCAGAACTCGGAAAAGAAAGACAGAAAGCAACAATAGTGCTCTCAATTTTGATGTGGTTCAATGTGCAGATAAGAAGAGGTAAAAAACTCACATTTGAGGGAGCTATGGCCAGCTCTGGTGTGGATAGCGTACAGCGGTATAATCCCCGCTTATAGGATATGTAGCGGCGATACGTCCGTCAGCACCGTCTGGTGATCCAAGGCTCCAATATAGAAGAATAAAAAGCAGCAATAGTGCTCTCAATTGTGATAGGTTAAGAGAGTAGTAGAGAAAATAAAATAATACTCACAAAGATAGAGCAGAGGCACTGCTCTATGGATAGGCGCCGGTGGTATGATCCCCACCTAGGATTTCTTGGAGTACTGGAACTTTAAAATTGCCAATGGAAGTAAAAGTAACCAGGAAAGGTTAAAATGCCAGGAATAGGTAAAAACAAAAGTTGTTTAAAGTGCATAAAGAGTGCAATAAAAAGAGGATTGGTACAATAAAGTAGCCAAAAAACTTTTATTGATCTAAAATACACAGTAAAATACAGAATTAATAACCATAAACGCGTTTCACCATAAGTGGCTTCTTCAGAATGGGATACATATCCCATAAGCGGGGATTATACCGCTGTACGCAATCCACACCAGAGCTGGCCATAGCTCTCCTGAATGTGAGTTCTTTACTTTTTGTTACCTATCACACCCTGAACTTTCATACTATACCATTAGTCGCCTCTACCTCTCTTGTATTTACATATACGGAACGGTCTACACCAGACGCATCCACAGAGGAACTCTATCAAGTATCCTAGACCATCTATTGGCACCCTAGCAATACTTTACTGGACTATCTACCCTTATTTGGCGCAGCCCTTCCATATCTTTTTGTATCTATCCACCGAAGGACCCGAGGGGTTTTCCTTCATTTGGGTTGCTGCCTACCTTGACTAATTTTGTGATTACTAGCGCTGAATTCTTTTTGTGTTTATCTCTGTCTGTTTGTATGTATGTGTCTGTGTGTGTGCCTGTCTGTATGTACATATGTGTGCTTGTCTGTATGTATATGTGTGTGTCTGTATATATGTGTCTGTATGTGTGTGTCTATGTATGTAAGTGTGTGTGTCTGTCGGGGGGGTGGCGGGGCAGTATCACAAAACCTGGTATCACAAAACCACTAGGCCTAGGTTCATATCCCATAAATGGATATCATGTAGGAATATCCCATATAAGAATCAGGGAGGGGTCTGCACAAATGATGTTGTAAACCAGGTAGAAAGTTACAGATAAGGGAAAGAAAGAGCTAGGAATATGGATGAACAGAACTACAAAAGGAAGAAGTAGAGAAAATTAGAGAGCAAAGTGAAAGGTAAAAAAAAAAGCGTAGGGAAAGAGAAAAAAATTGAGGAAGGGAGGGTTTGAAGGCGAGGAAATGGGAACAAGCCTAGAGCGGCTAGAGTTGTAGGGAGCTACATTCAGTCGCAGTCTTTTAGTAAGCCACATGTGCAAATCATACCAGAGTGTCACCTCCTTAAGAATTATGATTATGGACATCCAGATAACTAGCAGCCTCCATGGAGGAGAGAAACAACAGCCAATAAAACCATTTCTGTGTGTAACGCTCCCTAGCCCAAACTGTGGTTGCCGCAAGGTCCTCGTATTGCCAAAAACTTTTAAGCAAGACATATAAAAAAAAAAGCAGCTGAGGCACTACCGAGCATTTGTACTCTTGGAGATGGAGGTGTGTGATGTTACAGCAGTGCCACAGCTTTAAAAACTGGCAGGTCATCAGACAACCTATTAAGAATAGAATAGAGTGTCTTACAAAATCCTTCAGCAAGATTACAAAAACACTAAATAGTATTTATTTAGAAAATATTTTACCAGGAAGGATACATTGAGATTCCTCTTGTTTTCAAGTATGTCCTGGGCAATATGAAGCAAATCACTAACCACCTAATCACATCGCCAGCACAAAGGAAAGTATGATGGATTACAAGCACGGAGAGCCACTTTCTGGTACCATGTAGTGCAAAGTTTACAACAAACAGGTTAAAGATCTTAGACCAACCATCATAAGTAATGGTGACATGCAGATTCTTCTCCCACTTATTAAGGCCTGGCAGAGCAAGTATTGAAATATTTACCAAAATTTTATAGTCAATCGAAAGACACCAATCGAAAGACAGCAACAAATGGTTTTGCCCCATTTGGTACGGGGCCATTTGGACTTCAGTGAATAACCTTGTTACTGAAGGGAAGAGCAATGTACATGTTGATGAAGTGGACATCGGTTTATTTAAGAAACCACAAGGGAGGACAAAACAATAACCAATAAAAGTAACTTTTAGACTAAAGACTTGGATAGCAATCTATAACAGTAACACGTTTCATTAAATTACACTTGCCATGGTACCAGAATGTCTAAGCAGCACTAACTAAATCAAAGTCAAAGTGTCATGCTGTGCTGATTAAATTACAATTACAAACAAAAATAAACAATTTCACAACCTAAAACACAAATTTTAGAACACAGTATTCCCATAGTATTAACAAAGTTCATAGTCTCTAGGAAGGAGGCCGGCCTCCAAGCTACTCTGCAAGCTATATAGTCTCTGTTTAGTTGGTATTATATGGGCAGCCATTGAAAGATGGGGAAAAATCCAGAAGATGGCTTGATAGCAGAGCTCAAAGCTCCTCCTCCAAGCCCTGTCAGTCAGAGACACAGGAATGATGAACTGATGTAGAAGGGATTTGCATGTGTTATTCCATGGCAGCGAGCACAAGTTCAAAGCCTGTCCCTGTCTGAGTAATGATTGGTTCTGTGTGTGGCTGTGGGTACCCAACTCCCATCCTTAGTGAGACAGTGGCAAGCTATCGGTTAGAAAATGCTTTCTCCAGAGGAGCAGCACATTCAAGTCCCTGCATGTCAGCATGCTCTGTGTGAATTGAAAATCAAATTCGAAAACATAATCCAACATATAACTTTTATTCATCTAATTTTAAGCTTGGCTAGATTGACTTAAATGTTTTAAACTGTGATTGGGTAAGTAAACCATTTTTATGAACTTCAGATAATAATAATCTGATGGAAATGCAGATTAACAACTATACACACAGTATGAAATGTGAAACGCTCTCCCTTTTTTGTTTTTTTGCACGCCCTCTTCCCCCCCCCACACAGGTACATTGACTTTTTTGTTTTTTTGTGTCCATTCACTATTACTTGGTCTGTATATTGTATATTGAACTGCTTCACTTTTTTTTACAATAAACTTATCTAGTTTCCTTAATGATTTTTTATATTTTCTCGTTTTGGGAACTAAAGAACCAGCAACAAATGTCAAAGCACTATCCCAAAGTTTATTTCCTGAAAAGAAATATAAAAAAGCGTCAACAATTATATAACACAACAGGTGTTAAAAAATACGTTAGAATTGTGCAATGTAATAAACCTCACAATAAGGTGATGTAAAAAAAAAAATTGGAATCCACAACATCACCACTAATTAAGGCATTTCTATTTTTATTTTTTCATTTAACTTGCATCATTTTGTTCCCCAAATTCCGGTTGCAGAACTATATGTTTATAGACACTCCATATTCTCTCCATATACTAAGGAAACCTTGCAGGATATGCTTTCGATTTTAGTACAGCAAAGTAGCAAACTTGCCAGAATTACCAACCACATTGATAGAAATGTTATGAAAAGCACTATTCTTTATTTGCTCCTCTGTCACTTTAGTCCTTGCAGATCTAAAAGCCATTCACATATTTACGTATTGGCTGAATGGATGCTGGGTGGAGAGGGAGCAGAAACCCAGTGCATTAACATATAATGCTTTTTTTAGATTTTGTTTTTATCACCACTTACGCTTATGGGTAAACTCTCCTGTGCTTCTGCCTCCCCCTAGTGACCATCCCACCATTGGTTCTTTTCCTTTTGCACTTCCACAGGTACAAGGGAACAGGAAACCAAGATTAACCTGAGTAGGGTCCTCATCAACCTATTGTTCCTGTAACATTTTATAATTGTCTTGTTTATTGTTAAATTTACCCCTCTATAATATTGTAAAGTGCTGCGGAATAAGGTGGCGCTATTTAAATACCAATGGTAATAATAATGCATTCAGTGAAATCCAAATGATGAGCCAGGAAGTAGAAACAATGCTGTGGACATTGGGTGACAGGATGTGAGCTTACATCACAACACACAGTACATGTTAGAGGAGAAAGATGAGGGGGCAGTGGGGACTCACAAGTGTTATGTTTACTCACTTTTTTCTCCAGCTGCAAGTCCTCTCTCACTGCTGCTCTATTGATAGTTTTTTGCATTTTTCACACACAACAAATATGAACGCTAAATTTGGCTAATAAAAAAAGACTGGACATACCCCATTTGCAATACCTTGGGTTGTCTACTTTTGCAAATGGTATGCCATCATGAGGGTAATTCGCATTCCTGGGCTACCATTTGGTCTCATAGGCAACATAACCAATCTGGTGAATTTCAATGTGAAAAAAACTGAAAAATGTAACATGCTATATTTCACCCTGTAACTTCCAAAAACACCATAAAACCTGTACATTGTGGGTACTGTTTTACTTGTGAGACATCGCTGAATACATATGTGCACTTTATTGCTGTAACAGCTGACAGTATTGTGACATTCACAGTTAAAATGCCATGCAGAATTTAAAAAAAATAAAAAAATTCTTAATTTCTCAATTTTTTAAATTTTTTTATAATTCTTTATTTTATTTGTCCTCAGATTGTGCAAGGCCACAATAGCCGTTACAAGCATAGTATTAACATTCCAAATTGTGGCAGAGTAGACAGCACATTTTTATATATGAGGTATGGGAATAACAAGCTATAAGTCAATTTGTTTTTATATTTTATTCATATTAAATTATGTTTCATATACAAATATGTAATGTTAAATAAAAGCCCCCTTTCTCCTGAACAAAATTATATATAAGTGTGGGTGCACATAATATGAAAGAGGTGAATTACGCCTGAACAGACATATAGCGCAAATTCAATGTTTTATTTACGTTTTGTTTTGATCACAACTTGTACAACTGTCTCAGTCCAAAAGGGGTTAATACATTAACAGTGCTAGAACAATAAATAAATACAAATTAAAGGGACAGTATAGTCACCTGAACAACTTTAGCTTAATGAAGCAGTTTTGGTGTATAGAACGTGCCCCTGCAGCCTCACTGCTCAATCCTCTGCCATTTAGGAGTTAAATCCCTTTGTTTATGAACCCTAGTCACACCTGTGACTTGCACAGACTTCCATAAACACTTCCTGTAAAGAGAGCCCTATTTAGGCTTTCTTTATTGCAGTTCTGTTTAATTAAGATTTTCTTATACCCTGTTGGGTCAATAGCTTGCTAGACCCTGCAAGAGCCTCCTGCATGTGATTAAAGTTCAATTTATAGATTGAGATACAATTATTTAAGGTAAATTACATCTGTTTGACAGTGAAACCAGTTTTTCTTTTCATGCAGACTCTGTCAATCATAGCCAGGGGAGGTGTGGCTAGGGCTGCATAAACAGAAACAAAGTGATTTAACTCCTAAATGACAGTGAATTGAGCAGTGAAATTGCAGGGGAATGATCTATACACTAAAACTGCTTTATTTAGCTAAAGTAATTTAGGTGACTATAGTGTTCCTTTAAAATATGCTACTACTGTACGTTTCAATAACCTTAAATTAGTGGGATTTGTCTGGATATAACTAAAAGGCACTGATTACACATGTGTATGTCTTGTTGCAACTACTTGTTTGTCTATTGTACAGTGCTGTGGAATATGTTGGGGCTTTTAAAATCATAATAATAATATTTATGTGCTCATATGAAAGTGTCTATTAGATATGTTTGTGAGTGTTGGTAATTAAGTTATATAATGACACAACTAATATGGTTTGTGAGAATTATTTCAGTAAATATGTAAATGTTGTAAATTAGGCATATGTGAATAATGAAATCATTGTGTGAAGGTATAATCTGAAAACATTTTTAGGGAGTCTGTGTCCAGACCATGTATAGTCATGTGGGAATATCATGGAACTACTGTAATCCAGGGGCATACCTAGTGCATTTGGCACCCGGGGCGGATCCTGTGCTTGGCACCCCCTCGCCCCCCCCCCAAAAAAAAACCTGTAATTTTTTTTAAAGTTGTCTTTTTTTTACAATTTGTAAACTTCGCAAAACCGCTGTCAACCCCTCCTACAAAACCCTTGTCCTTCCCTGCCCCCTCCTTTAAAACCCCTGTCCTGCCCACTTCTACAAATCCTGTACTGCCCCATCTACAAAACCCCCGCAGCCCCCTTCCACAAATCCCCTGTTTATCCCCCCTTATAAAGACTCCTGTCCCAATACAAAACCCCTGCCCCCTTTTACAAAATCCCTGCAGACCCACACACACATTTATAGGCAGACAGTCACACACACAGTTACAGGCATACAGTCACACACAGTTATAGGCAGTCACACGCACATAGTCACATGCAGACAGTCATGCACACAGTTACAGGCAGACAGTCACATATACATTGACACACACACGGCAGCAGCAGACAGTCACATGCACACACTCACAGACAGATAATAACACACACACGGTTACAGGCAACATCAAACAGTCACAGGCAGACAGTCACACATACATAGTCACATGCAGTCACACATACAGTTATAGGCAGACAGTTACACACACAGTCAGTTACATGTAGTCACACACAGTCATAGCCAGACAGTCACGCACACAGTTACAGACAGTCACATATACAGTCACTCACACACACAGGCAGATAGTTGCACACACACTTACAGGCAGACACACACAGTTACAGACAGTTTTATACACACACACACACACACACTGTCACAGCCACACACTATTACTTACAGACAGTGGGCTGGAGGAGGACTGGATTCCCTGAAGCCTGGGGAGAGGCAGGGATTCCTTCTTGTTGCATCTCCATGTGCAGCAGTAACAGCAGCGGGTAAGGGCCATATTAACCCTGCTGTCAGTTTGGCTCTGCCCCTGATTTTGCCTAGCACCGCCCTCACTTTACCTCCCTAACTGCCATGGGGCACTGTGTGCCCTTACAGCTCACACAGCCCCCTCCAGTTCCCAGACCAGGGTCATGGCACCCCCCACCCTAGTGGCACCCGGGGCAGACTGCCCCCTCCGCCCCCCCCTTAGTACGCCACTGCTGTAATCAATACTATTCTCATTTAGTTTTTTCCTTTTGCTCTTACAATATGCTTCCTTTAGCCACACTGAGCTAAGCCGTGCCATGCAGACCTGGCTCATTGGCGAAGAACTTCTGCATCATGGAGCTTCCAGGCTGCAGAGATGGCAGCGACCAGAACCTTTAGAACCCCAGGTAAGCGGTCACCTGCTTTTGAGTGCTTACACTGGGAGGGCACCAAGAGACCCCTGGCACCATAACCACTACAGTTGGAATTACTAGTTATAATGCATGAGATGTTCATAAAAGATTGCCTACATGTAACATGGAGCATGCAGCATCCTACCTTAAAGGAGCACTAGAGTGCCAAGAAAACAAACTCATTTTCCTGGCACTATAGGGTTATTAGGTCCCCCCCTCCCACAGGGCCCTCATCCCGCTGGGCTGAAGGGGTTCAGCCACTTACCTTAATCCAGCGCTAGGCTCCCTCGGCACTGGTGAACTCTCATTCCCCTGCCGACGTCAGCTCCGAATGCGCATTCGCGGCCAGAGCCACACGCATGAATTCAAACAGCTCATAGGAAAGCATTACTCAATGCTTTCCTATAGTTGTCCAGGGTGTCCTCAATGTGATTTTCGCATTAAGGATCGCAGAAGCGGCCGCTAGTGGCTGTCAGGAAGACAGCCACTAGAGGCTGGAATACCCCTCAATGTAAACATAGCAGTTTCTCTGAAACTGCTATGTCTACCGCTGCAGGGTTAAAACTAGGGGGACCTGGCACCCAGCCCACTTCATTGAGCTGAGGTGGTCTGGGTGCCAATAGTGGTCCTTTAAGTATGTATTAGAATTTCTTTTTTCATATTTCTCTCAATTTTCTCATATACGAAGACATACACACAAAATAATAATTGCAAGTGACCTTTTATATCCTATATAACAGTAACTTCTATACTTATTCCCTTTTTCTTTTCTTTCCCATCTTTTTCTCTATTTTCCCCTCCTTCCTTTTTCTTTTCCTTTCAAGTATTTATTTTGAATTAAGAAGACTGTTAGAACAATGGCATGCACATGATCAGGAACAGTTTGGTAGTAATAGGTCATATGTATGCCAATAACTCTTTCCCTGTCCTCTTTAACAACCACAACGCAGCTTTTTATTATTAACACATGGCAGGATGGAATAACTAATTCCTCCTTTTTACACCAAATACTAACCATTACATCTACATGTTGCAGAAGGAAGAATGATTTGTCACATTAGGCAGCATTTTTTCACTGTGAACTTATCCTGATTTTTATGACCAATACATATTGTATCCTATTCTTAGCTTTTTTGCGTTAGACCCAGTTTGGTCTTCTGTTTTGCTCAACTACTCCAAGGAGGATCATTTGTCTTTTAATCTACACAATTTAATGCTTTGTAGAACAACATAAAATGAATGCCTTGACCATGTCTTCATGCTTTACATGTGGAACTTGATTGGCTACTTGCTTTATTATATCAATGTAATTTATAAAGTGGCCAATGAGAGTCTAATCTTTGACATATTTAGCATGCTTTGAAGAAAATGAAGGCACTGTTTCTGAAGTACGATTCACCAATTTGTTATTTTATATAGAGGAATTGTTCACTGACTTAAAAAAATTGAAAATTTAATCAAAACATTTTAGTCTGCCTCACTTTGTATATTTGGCTCATCTACATCAAGTGGTTGTCAGAGCAAAGGCGAACATGATTAAACACACATTGCTCTCAACAAGTATGAATTAGTCTTCATTTGTTGTGAAAGAAAAATATGAAATCTGCCTTTGCTTTCTGAAAGAAAAATATCTTATATCAAGTGTAGTGATTTTAAATATTTTAATCCAAATCTCTTGCTGTTATTTCCTTTAACCCCTTAAGGATCAAATTTCTGGAATAAAAGGGAATCATGACATGTCACACATGTCATGTGTCCTTAAGGGGTTAATGTATGTCATATATAAAAAACTGTTCAAGAATTTTCCAAACAAAGAGATCTGGCGTAAGATGGCATTTTCTCTAATGATTCCCTTCCCTGGAGGATAAGCTATCCAGGGAGAATATTTAGAAATAAATAACAAATACAATCCTAGAGTAAAGACAGACCTTTTTTTTTCTCTATTGATCTGTCATGACCATTCCATGTCTGTGTCCAGGTGTGCGACAGATGTATGCTATCATAAGTTGCATGAATTTAAACAATGGCTCTTCATTGGAACATGTGCTCAAACCTCTTGCTACTCCCAACTGATGTTCTCAATTTTGCAGATTACCTTGATCTGTGAATCGTACCTGAGGTCTCTGATTGATATTCTTCTGAAACTGCATCTGGAACCTCTACTGCTGCCATGTTTGACCTGGATTCATTCTCTTCCTCTTTGTTATCCAGTTCACAGACTAGTGATCTCCTAGCTGTCTCGTCACTTTGGAATCTGGCAATAATTGACTTGTTTGAAGTTGGTTTAGCAACACTTTGATACTTTTCCTTATGAATAGACCTTCTAGTGATTTACTCAAGCACTTTTAAGACTTTATCAAAAGTGCTCTTATAACTAGTATAGATAATTCAATAATGGTACACTCAATATGTATTCCAAAAGTACATCTTAAAAGCAACTGCTTTTCATTACATGCAGTAACATTTACATGTGATTTATTGCAGATGTCTGTAACTCTTTGAACATATCAAAAATATTCCATGTTCCATAGATTGAGAAACCCTGGTTTGCATTGTTGGCAGTGTATAAATTCTCCCTTCCAGTTATGAAACTGTGTGCGTGTACACATCTGCACCTGGTCCCCAGCACTCACACCCTCTTAAGGCATAATTTCCTTGTTATCATGCTTGACTTTGAACTATGGAACATACAGCAATGATAGATACAGACCTCCAACAAGGAGATTCCCCATATTTGGCAACCTGGTGGCTACAACTTGTGAGGTTATAGTAGTGTACCATTTGAAGGATGGGAAGCTTGACCACTGATAACTTTATTTGACATGATTTCAAATATATAGAATGGGTATGGACACATTTTTTTGTAGAAGAGAGGGAAAGAGCCATGGCAGAGATGTATGGAAATTGAAGATTATGGTAGATAAGCGGGAGCATGGGAAAATAGAAGGAAGAAACATGGAAGAGAGATGGAGACAATATTGGGGGCATGCAGCAATGGAGAATAGTGGTAAAGATGGAATGAGGGAGGGTGCCTGTAACGAACCTCCTGTATGCTGAGTGATACGTTCATTCAAAGTCTCCTAAAATCCTGCAAGGTTGTGTGATTATCTAGCTCTAACCATCGCATACCTAAACATCAGTCGAGACTTGATGAAGGGTACAAAAGCAATGTTTTCATATGGCCAAATTGCCTGTTTTTATACACAGTTCCCCAGCATGGGGTCTCTAGACAAAACATAGGTAAAACCCACCCAGGTGTCTCTGTGTCTGGGAGATAAGTGAGTATTCTTTACTTAAACTAATTATCTCCCAGGCACTAGAGGTACAACACCCCAAAACACACACAATATTTATAGGAACCCCAACAAGTCTTATATCCCCGGATAGCCCGGATATGATTGCCCATGTCACAAATAACGATTAGATCCCCATAATAGAGCCGAATCGCCACCGGGTAGAGTTTTGAGTGACCGCACATGTGGAAGCTGCCCAAATTAGTTCCATAACAAAAGTGTTAGCAGTCGGTCAGCCTTTGGGAGTTCCTACATGAAATAACATGAATGGTTCATCTGGCTTGTCGGGGAAGGAAGCAGGCAGCGGTACAAAGTTACCAAGGTTCACAAGTTAAAGTTCCAGGCAATTGATGACCTCGGACCGCTGCCTGCGTTCGGGAGACAAAATTGCTGCGATTTTCCAGAGTGCTTGTTTTTGAATATTTGCATAGCAGCCACCCAGAGAGAGCACTTGAGTTTGTAGTTGTTTTGAATATAACAAGCCAGGGGGTGGTCTGTATTCAGTAGATAAAAGTACCAAACCAAGGGGAACAACTTGGGCTCAGGGAAAATAAAGATAGTGTCTGGGAAGTTTGTCACAGTGTCATTTTAATAAGACACAATATTTCACAGAACCACTACAGCTTAATGTAGTTATTCTGGTGTCAATAACATGTCCCTGCAGTCTTTTCAATGTAAATGCAGTGTTTGCATTGCTACCTAGTAACACCTCTGTATGCAATCACTCGGTCGGCCACTAGAGGTGCTTCCTATTTCAATGCAGTGTGCAGCATCTACATACAGCATCTCCACGCTCTGCATGAAAACGCTGAATGCTCCCCATAGAGATGTATTGATTCAATGCAACTCTATGAGGAGATGCTGATTGTTTGTTTTGCGTTTTGCTGTGCATGCGCAATAGACTCGCAATGCTTTCCTATCGGAAAGCATTGAATTGGCTGAGATCATCAAGATTGATAATCTCAGCTATGGAGATGGGTCAGCTGCAGCTAGACCAATGTGACAATGGAGAAAAGGTTACTCCATTCTGACTAATAACTAGTCCAACACTATAGTGTTAGGAATACATGCTTGTATTCCTTACACTATATTGTTACTTTAATGCAAATCTGTAATCTATTAAATCCATCTGCTAAGAACCCATGCCAGTGCTGTACTCTCACACATGTGAGAGACAACAGCATTGATTTATAGAAAGGATCCTGCGAGACTGCAGGAGCCTCCATAGAGAAGTGATGAGAGCTATAGCTCCACCTTTGGTCAAGTTTTGTCAAGTTAAAGATTTACCATAAGACAAAGTAATCTTTACATTCTCTTATGATAAATTTTGTATTGATATTTAATTAAATTTTAACAGTCTTTCATAAAGATATTTTCTTTATGAAATGCTCAAAAATATGTTTGGGTGACAGAGTTGCTTTGGAGAGGAGAGAGGAGAAGATCAAATAAAAGATACTAACTCAAAAACAAATAAAATGCATAATTGTATTTGAAAAATAATAAAAGACACTGATCGTTAAAAAGAAAAAAAAAGTGATGAGTAATTTCTACAACTAAAGGCATAGATCAATAATAACATCAAATTATTTTCATAACAATCTTCAAGGATGGTGCAAAAATAGTGTGGTGCAAAAAAACGAAATAAATAAAAATAAGAAAGGCGTTTGAGAGGATACACTGGGGTTATCTGTGGAAGACATGAAGCAGATTTAATGTCCCTCCATCTTTCATCACTGCAATTAAAGCACTATATTGTGATCCCAAGGCCCATGTCTCAGCTTCTGGTTTTAACTCCCAGACTTTTTCTTTAACTAATGGTATGAGACAGGGATGCCCCTTATCTCCGATTTTATTTGTTCTTGCTATAGAACCGTTGGCTGAATTGATTAGAACAACTCCAGAAATATAAGGTATAAATCTTAAAGAAACCACTCATAAAATTAGCCTGTTTGCTGACGACATCATTTTGACAATTAAAAATCCAAAATAATCTTTAAAACATCTTAAAGATATTTTAACCCAATTTGGAGAAGTATCTTACTATAAATTAGATGACTCCAAGACTCAGGCCTTGCCTTTCCATTTGAACCACTCAGAAGTAGCTACCCTTAAGATGCTGTATTTATTTGATTGGAGGACTGAATATTTGCAATATTTAGGAATTAATTTATGTAAAAATCTAGTAAATATGCATGCTCAAAACCTGGGGAAAGCATGGCAGGGCCTACAAAAAGAGATGGCGAGATGGGGCGGGATGGAGCTTTCATGGTTGGGGATAGTTTCATCTATTAAGATGACAATTCTCCCCAAGATTTAGTATTATTTTATCTTTCTTCAACAGAGTTCACTCTGTAATGCTCAAGTTCATATGGGGAAATAAGATGAACAGAATAAAGCTTACCTCCCTGCAGCATCACAAATCGGACGGCGGTATTGGAATACTGAACATCCGTAAATATTACTTTGCTACCAATGCTGCAGTGATTATAAGTTTTAATTGTCAGAGGAATAGGCCAAGATGGATGGAGATGGAAGAGTCAAAAATTCTGCTGATTAGACTTATGGAGATTCTTTGGGCGTAACCCGAACAAAGACCTAAAATATCCAAGTTATTTTTGTCGACTAAAACTACACTCAGAGCCTGGGACATTGTTTTTAAGAATAATGGTCAGACTAAAACTTTGTACAGAGCAATGCCTACAGAGCAATGCCCAGCATAGGTTCCTTCATAAAACATACATAATACAAAATATAAAAGGAAAACAGAAAATAAAACAAATGAGGACACCGCGTAGCTGGAAATACACTTACACTTTTTTAAACACCTCAGGGTGCCTACCCTTAAATGTGCCTCCCCTTTTATTTTCAAAGTGCGACGGGTATTATGGACTTTTATTTGGCCTTTATTGGGGCTAAAAAAAGAAGATTTTAGAAAAAAGAAGACATCAAATGGTAAGTTTTATTTAGTTTTTACAGGTATTTAGTTCTCTTGTTCTCCCCCCCACTATTTTTAAGGTGAGGGGGGTAGGTAGTGGGTTTATTCAATTTTTTTTTTTTGGTGGGGTGGGGGCCCTAAATAACAATAAGGGACCTATTGTCCTCCCTTCTGGCCCCCACCAGGGGGTGGGGCGGTTAACATTTTCGTTTAGGGCCCCCACCCGCCGCTCATGGGTGGGGGCCCTGGGGAAGGACAATAGGTCCTCCCCTCATTGTTATTTTGGGCCCACCTGCCACTTAGAGGTGGGGGCCAGGGGGAAGACAATAGGTTTCCCCCCTACATTTTCATTTAGGGCCCCCACCCGCCGCTCAGGGGTTGAGGCTGGGGGGGAGGAAATAGGTCCCCCTCTTATTGTTATTTAGGGCCCCCACCCGCCGCTCAGGGGTTGAGGCTGGGGGGGAGGACAATAGGTGTCCCCCCCTTATTGTTATTAAGGGCCCCCACCCGCCGCCAATAGGTCCCCCCCTTACTGTTATTTAGGGCCCCCACCCGCGCTCAGGGGTGGGGGATGTGCGGGAGGACAATAGGCCCCCCTTATTGTTATTTAATGCCCCCACCCACCACTCAGGGGTGGGGACCCATTTTCATATGGTGCCCTCACCTGCTGCTATGGGGTGGGGAACAGGAGGAGCCCCCCACCTACCGCTCATAGTTGGGGCCCAGGGGGAGAACAATAGGTCTCCCCATTTTCATTTAGGGCCCCCACCCACCGCTCATGTGTGGGGGCTGGGGGACAGTATTATCGTCATAAACTGCCTGAGAGCTGAAGGGTGAGATGGGAGAGAGGGGATAGAGAAAAGGGGGAAAGAAGAGAGAAGGAGAGAATAAGAGAGAGAAAAGGAAAAGAAAAAAAAGGGGAGGGATAGAGGAGAGTGTGGTGGAGTGGTGTATGTCAGGTGGAGTTGTTCTGTCCAGATTTGTTCTGTGTTCTGATGTCAGGTTTGGGGGTTGCCAGATGCTTACCCAGG